TATTTGAGAATTCATATATATTTTATGTTATTTATGTAATTCCTTATTTAATTTTATGGATGAATTATGCGTACTTTTATCATAAAAGTTCTATGAACTAGAGTACGGATTGTTGTGTGTAGATTTTAGTTCTTTTTGGCTAAATTTTAGTGATTTTAGTGATTTTGGTGGTGGTGTTTTTTTTTTTTTAAGATTTGTTTTCATTGGGAATTTAATTCATCACTTATTATTAAGTTCAAAACTTCAATTTAAAAAGATTAAAGATTGAAAAGTTAAAATCACAACCAACTTGGCTAACTACAAAATAAAAAGTTGTTTCTTTTCAATACCATTTATGTAAAAATATTCATAGATGAAACCATTTTTTCAAAAAATCGGTTCCATTGATGGAATCATTGTCCCAAAAAATTAGTTGCCTCGATGGAACTGTTTGTCCCGAAATATAGGTTGCCTCAAATGAACCATTGTCCCTAATTATCGGATACATCGATAGAACCATTTATCTCGAAATATTGGTTGTCTCAGTGAAACTATTTGTCTCGAGATATTTGTTACTTTGAAGGAACCATTGTCTTTTGAAGTATTAGATACATTGATAGAACCATTTGTCCCAAAATATAGCTTGCCTTGAAGGAACTATTGTTCCTAAAATATCAAATACTTCGATAGAATAATTTATCCCAAAATACATGTTATCTCAAAGGAATCATTGTCCCGAAATATTTGTTGCTTTGATGGAATGCCATTGTCTTGAAATATCAGTTATATGGATGGAAAAATTGTCCCGAAAAAATTGGTTGTCTAAATGGAACTATTTTCTCGAAAAATCAGTTGCCTTGATGGAATAATTTGTCCCAAAATACATGTTGCCTCGATGAAACCATTTATCCTGAAATATCGATTGCCTCAATAAAACCATTTGTCGCGAAATATTGTTTTGTTGATGGAACCATTTGTCCCGAAATATGGGTTGCCTCGGTAGAACAATTGTTCTGAAATATTGATTGCCCTCAATGGAACCATTTGTCCCAAAATACCCTCCGCCTCGAGGAAACCATTGTCCTAAAATATTTGGTTTGTTTAGATGTAACCATTGTCTTGAAATATTTGTTGCCTTAATAGAACCATTTGTACTGAAATATTTAGTTGCCTTGATGGAACCATTCTGATTGTCTCGATGTACTGAAATATCAGTTGCCTTTAGACTATTGTTCTCATCAAATATACCGAACTTAAGTGAAGAAGGATTATGACCACTCTCTGGGGATGCATGATGAGGAGAATCTGCCAAAGTCCTTATGCTAGGATGGAGGTCACCCCAAGATGGGTAAACCTTGACTATGTGCTAGATCACCATTAAACTTAAGTTTGATAGATTACAATAAATTTAATCATTTATCAATACTTTAACCATATGACTATTGTGTTATTTTCTTAGAATGGTTCCTTTGCTATTTATAATTTGTTTTGATATACTATGGCTTCTAGTTGAATCGCTCCCGAAAAGGAATCTATTGATTCTCTCCTTTTATTCTTCAACTTCGATRAAATCAGAATAGTTCTCTTCATTCCGATCCTACTACATTTGGATGAAATTAAACTGGATTGAAATATTTCTTATTTTTTATTGATTCCTGTCAAATCAAAAAGAAACAATTTTAGTATCTAGTAGGATTTTTATCGATATTTAATAATGCTAAGGATATTTTGAAAGATTTGACAAAGTCATAAAAGCTATCATGAATCTTATTTGTCCAAACGTTCTCACTGTCATTTTTTATCGAAGTTTCATTTATCATTGAAAATGAAAAAAAAATGGATTCGTCTTCGGTAAGTCCGCTCAAAAAAGGATCATATGCTTTTGGTAAATAGTATTTTTTAGTTTAATCATTACATAATTGACCTTACCTTAAGAAGAAATAGTGGGTATGAAGCGTAGAAAGACGATAGTTTGGGAGTTCGCTCGAAAGAACTGGTGTACTAAGGGGTTATTGAAATTTTCAAAACTATTCGACGAAACGTTGATGTGACATTTTTATTAAATAAATTTGTAAACATCCAAACAACTCCGGTACTCATGAATTAGTGCAAACAATTTCACTCTATTGACATAAGATATTAAGCCAAAATTAAAAAATTAAATATTCTTTTTTTCTTAAAGGAATTAAAAGTCCGTTGATATTTTCATTAATTGACATTTATATTAAGAGTCATTAATCAACATTTTCAAGAGAGCAATACAAGTGTCATGCCTAATCCTGGGTCTGGCTGCTGATCTAACGATCCCTCTACCTATCATCACTAGTGTAACCTGTTAAAAAAATATACCATATAAAGATTGATGTGATATAAAATCATTATTATATAAATATTTTATAACTTATTTAGGAGGGATAAACTACCTATTTATTAACTTAAATAATTTCTATGAGTTTTATTATGGGTGAGAAGATCTCTATTTTCTACCATTCGAATTCAAAAGAGAAGATATGATTTCCCCTAGATTCATTCTCTTATATTCGAAATGAAAGATATGGTGATGACATTAGGATTTTCCAAAGTAGATACTCGACGCTACAAGTCCCTAGCTACGTCTAAATACCCTACCCTCCATACTCAACTACTTTGATTCTAACTTAAGTATCAGAGTCTGGCAAGAGCCATCGGTTTTATTGCTATGTTTTGAAGGTCTCGTTGTTCCCTTTATTCTTGGTGCAAATTTGACGAAATTTTCAAATTTCTACATCAACAAATCTTTTCCACAATCTTTTTCATAAAATAGAAACCTTGAAATTTTTATTAACATCCATAGTATGATCAAATACTTCTTGAGGGCTAAAAAAATCAATTTCCTACTCTAAAAAGAAAACCAATTTCCTTTATTTTATTAATATATTATGTTTTTGTAAGAAAATTTAAATACGTATATAAATTGTTTAGTTCATTTTAAATAACCTAAGTCATAAAAAATTGATCACTTCTTTATAATATTATGTCAATTCTTTTATAATATTATGCACTAGGTCCAATGTGTCTTATCAGACATGGCACATAACTTAGGAAAAATAACTTTAGATTATTTTGTATGTAACACGTGTAATTGAGAGAGTATGAACATAAATTTATAATTCTAACCCCAAAAAATTCCAATTACCTCCCTAAATTAGGAAAAACAGATTTAGATTCTTTTGTATGTAACACGTGTAATTGAGCTGGAAAGTGAATATAAAATTATAATTTTAAATTATATTTCAATTTGATATTTGTTATAAACACGAAATACAAATGTAATTGAAATTTTCTAAAATTCACTAACGTCGGATTACATTTTTATTTTTAATGATTATCCTTATTCTTTCTTTCATTCTCCAATTTTTTTTTTTAATTATATCTAAAATTTTAAAATCATTTTATAACCGTTTCGTTTTAAATTTTTTATTTTTAAAATTATAATAGTTTTATTATAACTTCTTTGACGTGTATTTTTATTTATTTATTAATATTTATATATTCTATCTCAAATTAATAAATAATTCTATCTCAAATTAGTGTTTTATTTATTTATTTATTAATATTTATGTATTTTATCTCAAATTAATTGGTAATGAGAAGTAGTCATAGATCCTTGTTAGGTTCCTTATTTTTTAATGTAGATCTTTAACGTTTTTTTTTTCATATCTTTCTAAACACATTTTAATTCTTAAGCCAAATTTTAAAAACAATAATTTCTTTTAGTTTTATAACCAAATAAAAAGAAAAATATAGGTGGAAGTATTAATTAAAAAAGTGGTTATTAAACAAACTCTAAAAACGATTTTTTTTCAAAATTAAAAAAAAAAACTCTTTTTTATGTTTATGAAATTGAGCTAATATTTCGAAATTATTCAAGAAGAAAAAAAAGTAAAGAAACCAAACAAGGATGAGTAGATATCATAATTTTAATTTCAAGAAATTAAAAAACCAAAATTATTAACCTACCAACACCACTTTTTAGTTCAACCATACAAAGGGAAAAGATATTATAATTCCAACATCTAACCATATCAAACATATATACAAGTACTATAACTACTATGTTGGATTAAAAGGTTGTGAGCTCGAATCTACACCTTCAATATTATATTAAAAGAAACACCTAAATCACAATACTCAAAATTCAAACATTGATTAATAATCTAACTCATAATTAACCCGTTTATTTTGTTTGAAAATACATTTGTAAAGTAAAATAGTTATAAAAAAAGGGAAATTGCAATAGATAGCAAAAATCTTTTATGTATTTCAAAATATTTCATCTATTTTCAAAATTTTCAAATATAGCAAGAAACTTCACTTACATCAGTATATCAGTAGTATATCAAGCACTCATATTTAGTAGTATATCATATGTATAATATTTGGTCTATTTTTTTAGTAATAACGGAACAATACTACTCTATTCGTAGAAACAAAAAGAAGAAGATCTATTATGTACTCGATAAGTAGCAATACGCAATGACGGATGAGAATTGATCTTATTTTATATAAATGAATGTATACCTATTTGTTCATCATTCAAAACACTTATTCGCAATAATTTTTCTTTATTCATTCCTTTTGTCTTCCTTTTTTATGAACTCATTCCATCTATGTCTATGTATAAAATATGCTATACATATATCAGTAGTAAGATATATGATAGATATATATCGAATTGTCATTTTAAAATTTGACCTTCGTTTTTTCTTTCGAATAGTGCTATATTTGAAAAAACTAAATGTAGTTGCTATTTTGCTAATTTTACTAAATATTTTTACCCTGAAAAAAAATTATGTATATTAATATATATATATATATATATATATATTTTATTTATCAAGTATTTATATATATATATTTGAAAAAACTAAATCTCGTTGCTATTTTGCTAATTTTACTAAATATTTTTTTTTTATTTATCAAGTGTTTATATATATATATATATATAAATTGTTTTATTAAGTGTTTGTATCCGTCCCTAACTCTTCCGCCAGCTCAAGAGCCGCCTCCACCCAACCAACTTGTGTTACGCGGATCATACACCAAAAACAAACAATAAACCTCAAACCATAATCTCCAATCTCCTTCTCCTCTGAAGATCCAAGAAACTCCCAGATTCTCATAAACCCAATACCCATCTCCACGAAATTCCTCACCTTCAATCCTCCCCGCCTTCTGCTTCTTCCAATTTCTCCAATGGATACCTGGTCTTCCCTCCCGGTTGATGACGAGTTCGAAAAACTCCTCATAAGAATGAACCCTCCAAGGTAAACCACTCAATTTCTCCGATTCCGTCTCTTTTCGCTTCAGATTTCCCCATAGCGTACTGGGTTTTTCTTTTCTTTTGTTTTTCTCCCGCGGTTTCTAGTTTTCTTCGCGGGGCTCTGAATCTGTCTGTTTGGTCCCCTCTTGATTCTCTCAATCTGGGATTCTCAGGGTTTCTGTTGATGACACCTCGAGCAGGAAGGCCACTTTGATTAAGGTATTTTATGAGAATCAGTTAATTTTCGAGTTTCAATTGCGTTCTGTTTCGTAATTGGGATATGGAGAAAACAGGGTTCGAGATTTTGCTGCCTTTTTTTTTTTATTTGGATATAGAAAATTTGTAGGTTGATAGTTCGAACAGGCACGGGAGTTTGCTGGAGGTGGTTCAGGTTCTGACTGATTTGAATCTCATAATTCGTCGAGCTTACATTTCTTCTGATGGCGAATGGATCATGGATGGTAAGCTTTTTCTCTGCCTATTTTCTTCATTTTCTTAGTTTTTGGGGTCTGAAATTGATTCTCTGTTATGCTTCTTCTTTTTTTCATTTTTAAGTTTTTCATGTGACTGATCAGCATGGGAATAAGCTTTCTGATGATGGTGTGGCCGAGAGAATCCAACAGGTACATTTGCAATCACCAATCTCCACCTTTTATTGCATATGAAGCTTTTGTTTGAATTTTTTTCACTTTTAGGCCATTTGCCACACTTAATACTCAGATTTCAGTAGAAAAACTTCCATTGAATCTCATTAAGTTTGATGTAATGCCATGCTCTGATTTATCTGTAATAGTTTCACTAGAATTAGGTCTTATTTGCGCACGTTTGAACAATGAATAGCTACAATGAAAATCGAAGTTTGTGTGGTTGGAATGACTCCATTGAAGGAAAGGAGTAGATAAGAGAGTAGATAAGTTAGTTAAAAAGTTCTGTATAAAATACTCTTATAGTCTCTCAAGTTTGGTTTTGGTTTCTATTTCGTCTATGACACTAAACTTTTCTACTTTATCTACTCTATTTGATGACCCATTGAGGTTTGGACTATGTTTCTATTCTGTCTGTAAAGCAAAAATTTTCCAAACTAACTTCAAGATCTCCTAGTCCTTTCTTAACTTTGTTTTAATGAGGTATATATCAAGTTGTCAAAAATGAGAAAAACAGAAAATGAAGCTTATGACAGTTTTCTGTGTCTTATTAATGGCAAATTGGTATAGCATAATTTTATGTGGAGCCATGTGAATTCTGGTTGTGTTTTTATGTTAAGTTCACTTTTTGAATGGATTGTAAAAGATTTTCCTATCTCAGTCACTAGGGCCGAGGGCACACAGTTTCCGGTCGTTGAGGAGGTCGGTAGGCATCCAAGCTGCTACAGAAAATACTACGATTGAATTGTCTGGAAGAGATAGGCCAGGCCTACTTTCAGAGATTTTTGCTGTTCTTACAGATCTTAAATGTAATGTGGTAGCTGCAGAGGTATGGACCCACAATTCGAGAATGGCGTCGGTTGTTTACATCACAGATGACACAAGTGGAATGCCAATAGATGATCCCGATCGGCTGTCTAAGATTAAACAGCTTCTCCTCTATGTTCTAAAAGGAGACAGAGATAAGCATAGCGCCAACACTGCAGTTTCGAGGAACTCTACTCATAAAGAGCGGAGGCTGCATCAAATGATGTATGCAGACCGTGATTTCGACTTGAACTACATGAGTTGCAGCGAAAGGTATCGAAGCAGGCCACTTGTGACAGTAGAGAACTGTGTTGAGAAGGGATATACCATTGTCAACCTAAGATGCCCCGATCGACCCAAATTACTTTTCGATATAGTTTGCACACTGACTGATATGCAATATGTGGTGTACCATGCAACCATCATTGCCGAAGAACCAGAGGCTTATCAGGTCGGTCCAGAATTTTCGTGTTTGTTAAATTTTATACATTACCTTGTTAGTCAAATTCAAAGTTTCTTAGTTAATTCACTGATGAGAACCTGTTTTCCCCAATCCCATTTGATATAAGTATATGAAACATCAATCTCTCTAACTCTCTGGCAGGAGTTCTTTATCAGGCATGTAGATGGAAGTCCTATAAGTTCTGAACCAGAGAGACAGAGGGTAATCCATTGCTTGGAGGCTGCAGTTAAGCGACGAACTACCGAGGTATTTAATACGAATTGGGAGAACTATTTAATCCTATCCCATATTACTTTTTACTTGTTTTATGCAACTTTGTTGTTCGTAATTCAGGGTATAAAACTCGAGCTTTGTAGCGAAGACAGGGTCGGGCTTTTAACCGAAGTGACGAGAATATTTAGAGAGAACGGTCTTTCCGTCACTCGAGCCGAGGTTACCACAAGAGGAACCCAGGCCGTGAACGTCTTCTACGTGACTGATGCATCTGGAAATCAAGTAAGAAGTGAAACCATCAAGGCAGTGCGAGAAGCCATTGGACTAACGATACTCCTCGTGAAGGACGACGAACAACGCTCAAACTCTCCACCGCAGGAGGGGTCAAGCTTCTCTTTGGGGAACCTGTTCCGGTCGAGATCGGAGAAGGTATTATACAACTTGGGTTTGATAAAGTCATGTTCATGAGGGGTAGGGGTATGATGTAAATAGTAGAATTAATGATCCTTCAGTAATACAGCAGCAGAGTTTCAGATCAATGGTAGTTGATATTGTGACATGGCTTCATCAATTGGCTGCTTCTATTAGATTCCAACTTGTACAAATGTATATTCCTCATTCTCAGTTTAATGCACATAAATCTTATTCACATAATCAACTCATAAATACTTCTCCGGAAAGCACTTCTTCTATAAACATTCTCGTATCAACTTAGATACGAAATTTTCATAAGCATACCTCTACCTAATTTCATCTCTTTAAACTCGAATCATATAACGTAACTATCGTCTTATTTCAAGTAATCTTCTGGATCTACATAAGAAATTAATTCGGTCGATCTGTCCATCGTGTCGATCCGTCCATTGATAATTGGGTCGCTTTGAGAAATCTTGGTTGGTTTTATAGGTTGCATTTGCAGCTTTCCAATACACGTGGCTTCATCCCATCTGCTGTACCTTTCTTTTACCTTTCTCTTTCCACAACGACCTATCCCTTTCAACTCCCATTCTTATTTATTTTTCTTTGAAAAAGTGATTCTAACTTTTAAGTCTTGTGGACTTGTACTCGTTGCAATTCTTTACCGTAAACTACTGAGAGCATTTACAAATTTTACCTTTAGATAAGTTTTCATTATTAGAAAAGTATTATTAATTATTTTATAAAAAATAAAATGAATTTATAAAACATGATATAATATATCTATCGACTAGATAGGTACAATGTACTCAAACAAAAGATGAGAGGATCAAAATTTAGAAACCACGTTTATAATTTAACCAACCATATATTTTTTATCATTATATTTGGTTCTTTTTGTTAATTTTATTTGTGTAATTTAAAATTTTTAGGAAAAACTACTTTTTTAGTCCTTGGAGGGGGATAAATAGTTCTCTTAGGTCCTTTAATATCAAAATCTTACACTTATCTCCATAACATTTAGAAAATACTATATTTTGCTTCCTCATGTTAATTTTTATTAGAACTCAACAAAAATACGATGTGACATATTTAACGAGCAAATAAAAATAAGTGATGACACAACTTTAAAAACTTTTAAAATAGCAAGAGGAAGAGAGCGAGTTTTTAATTTTTTTAAAAAACTAACTCCTAAAAAATTAAACTAATACTAAAATGACAATTCCAGCTTATCTCAATTGATTATGTCATATATTTTCAATCAAAACGTCCAATGTTTGAACTCCCACGGCACATGTTATTGTAAAAAAAAAAATAAAATCTAAGACTAAAATGGAGCAGGTTTTAATTCTTAAAGATAAAAAATGTAATATTTTGAAACTTAATAACTAAATCACCGACAACCAAAAAGATAAAAAAATTTTCTATTTTTAGTACCTCTCATCTTAAAGAAAAAAAGTAAATGTCGTCTACTGAATGAACAATATTCATAGCCAAAATTTAAATTAATCTCTATATTTTTGTTAAATCTTACTATAGTAGATATTGACAGACTCGTTAACTTCTTTGTCCATGAATTTATTAATTTTCTTTTATCATTACTAGATTTTTCATCAAAACTAGATCATGTTACTAATAATAGTGACAAAGATAAGGACAAAGATTCCCTTTTAAAAACAGGTAGACAGAACTCATGAGTAGTAAAGTAAATATACTTTAACCTTTTCAGTTGAAAAAACAATTTAATAATAATAATAAAATAATAAAAAGAATTATTTGAATGATTATGTGAAATTATAAAAAGAAAAAGAATGGTCCAGCAATGTCACGTGGGGAGCATCGTATCCAAATCTTCATAGAAGTAAATGAAAGGATAAATCTGACCAAAATCAAAAGCCACGCATCTTTCAAACTCCATGCTCCATTCTCATCAATCATTCTTTTTTTTTTTTTATCATACCTATCTTTTCAATAAAATAATAATGATAAAGAAATTTCAAAAATAAAAAATAAGAAGATAAAGACGAATAAGTGAATTTTTTGAACATAGTTCAACTGAATAAAGTAGTTCATTCTTCTTGACAGTTTTAGAAAAATGTTATTCACAATTTCGTTTTTTATTTTTATTTTTAGAAATTATATTCTTCTTCTTATTATTATTATTATTTTTTTTCATATTTCTTTGCAAAAGTTACAAAAATAAAAATAATGTTTTTAAAACCCACATTTTTTTTAATTTTCAAAGCCTAAATTTTGAAAATATTTTTAAAAAGTAAATAATAAAATAAAAGAAACACATAGGTGAGTAGCCTTTGTTATAAGTTTAATTTTCAAAAGTAGGTTACCAAAAACTAAATAATAAGTATTAAAATTGCCCTAAATTACAAATTTAATTTATGTTATAGGATTAGTGTATATTAAATTTTTAAACTTTAAACTATTAAAACAACATACTTAAATTTTGAACTAAGACTCTTAAGTAAGACCTCTGATGGCTGATTATATGATAGGTATATTGGATCAATATTGGTTGATTTTACATTTATGTGGTAGAACAATGATAGATGGAAGTGGATAGTTGGACAAAATAAAGTGGTATCTGTCTTGTCACAAACCTTCTTCCTTAGATTTAATTATGCCTAAATTACACAGATACCTCTAAACTTTGCTAAAGTGATAATGAGGAAAGATGAATCTCTAGAAGGGAAGAAACCATAACATTAAACAAAAGGTTTTCAACACAGAATTTTCAAAATTTTTTGCACCGTAAAAGGGTCAAGTGAGTTGTACTACTCAACTTCAATCTTAATAGAAGTGGGACTTCTATGACGAAAAACTTTAGCAGGAACAAAACAACAAGAAAAGACCCGATCAACTCACCTCTGACTAAAGTTTGAGGGTGAGTCACATACGAAAGTGAGCACAATTCTGGAAAGAAGCACGTCTTTTCGACATTGTTTTTTAACTAGAAGACTAAGGTGGTGAATCATAGTCAAAATCTCTTTTTTCAAAAAACGAAGTCTGTTAAGTTTTGCTTTTTGTTCCACCCAAAAAACCTCATACCAATCGAGATAATTGTCTTATCTTATACCCATAATCATTTCCAAAAATTTTTATCCCAATGATCCACTTTTTAAGAACGGCAACTTCTTTTACATTTCCTCTGTTTTCAAACTTAATCCAAACAAATTTTTACTAGATCATTCCAGATTTTGAGAGTATGTCGTGTCATTCTAGATTTTGGCATATCAACTAATTGTTCGAAATATTTTTCAATGTTTGTTCAAATGATATTTTTGAAATGTTTACGAAGGGATGATAGTACAAATGTTTTTTAGATGAATGACAAAATGCAAGGATATTTTTTGTAATTTAACCTTTTAAAACTATCAAATCTTTATTTTCTTTGGTGGACTATGCATCCCATTTTGTCCGATCGTATATTTTATTCTACCCTGTTTGTCACATTATGCCAAATCAATGAAAAGCAGGTCACATTGTCACTTTTATTAACGATGTTAATGACTACATAAAGTCAAAATTCCAATCCGAAGTCTATAAAGAAAGTTCAAAGTAGATCGTCAACCGAATGTAATTAGTCTCAACAAGACAATCCGAACCTCTAGAATCTACTTTCATCATGGAATAATGAAGGGCATTTTCTCTAAGTCGTCCTAACAAAAAATTGAATTTTGCCAACAAAATAATCCTTCCCAAAAACATGTGTTGATGCATGGATTTTGACCCTTCGGCTCTTCTTCTCGCACACACCTAACTTAATGATAAGGGAACCGATACCTACAAAATCAAACCGATCTAAACCGATGTGACCTTAGTCACACGGGCTCCGATGCTTAAGTTAGCTAGGAAGAGTTGAGAAAATAATTAGCTAGGGATAAGTCACTTGCCTCCTCAGATCTCATTGCTATTTATAGCCATGAAGATGATTCCAGAACCTCCGTAGCCAAACCCTAATTCAACGTTGCCGGGCCCGAAGGATCGTTGATCGCAGGAGGGAGATTTACAGGCTGGGCCATGAGCCGACCAGGGGTCGGGACCGAGCAGGGATCGGGACCGAGAAGGGGTCGGGACCGAGCAAGGATCGGGACCGAGCCCTCTCGACCCGGTTGGTTTCTCCACCGATCACTTTCCTCATTCTCTGCCTCGGCGCTAGGTCGTTCTTTGGGCCGGCCCGTTACGTCGCAGACCAGTCTCCCTCAATCGATGATCTCAATCGATGATCTCAGGCTTAACTCCTTGTCTCATTTCAGGTCGTTTTTGTTCGTTCTCTATAACAATACGCATGAGTTATCTCAATGAAAGATTCATCAGCAATTTTATCACCATATACACATAGGGAGATGTAGATGCTACATTATTTTCTTCTTTTCAGATATCATTAATGAAGAAACCATGGAAACCATGACCTTGTTATTACGAAAACAATTGTTGCCATTGAATCTTAATGCCAATGTAAAAGTGCTTCTTAGCTCCAACGTGCCAACATGGGCAACAGTAAATAACATCTGTTCATTGAAAGTTTAAATTTTTATACCCCATATTTGTCATACTAACAAAAATAAGAAAGAGATCAAATGTATTTGAAAGGCAAGATTACTATTCAAGTCCCTAACTATCATGGGTTGACTCATTGATCCAAAGTAAATGAAAGTATTTATGAGAAATGAGTTCGAATCTATCTAAGAATTAATTTTCCATATATTCTCTTAACAACTAAATGTAAGAGAGTGAAATTCAATGTAACAAGTAGTTGTCACGTGAAATTCAATGCACAAGCTAAAACTACCAATTCCCTAGACTCACCCCTGAAGTTCAAAAAAAATTGGCTCACTCACCCAAAAGCCCAAACAAATTGCACAACTCATCCTAGGTAGTCCCTAAAGCCCAAGAAATTGACTCACTCACCAGAACCCACCCCTAGGCCTCAAGAAGTGCCAAATGATGCAATGAGTTACCCATAATCACACCTATCAAAAAATTCTATCATAATAGGAAAGCGAACATAACCCAGTAGTGATTGACATGTATATATATTTTTTAATCAAGAGATTATAAGTTCGGTCTACCACCTTGTACTAAAAATATATATAATAATAATAAAAGAGGAAAAAAAACCCTCCAAGTATGAGATTTAATAAATAAATAAATAACCATTTTATAAAAAATATATCCTTAAACTCTTTCAATTAAGACTTTTTTAATTAAATATAAAATAATAATGAACTAATTGATTGAAAAATTATATCTTATTCAAAGTAAATGTACCCACCTAAAAAAGGGATCTCTATCACGTTAAAATCAGTATACAAAACCAAAAAAAAAGGTGTTGATGTCTTGCAATGGTATAAACATTTTACGAAATTTAACTAAACAAATGGACTTTATTAAAATGAAGCTCAAGTAGCATCGAAACTAGAAAAATAATTAAACCTAAACTTGGAATTTTGATAACCATTTTCTTTTAAAAAATTAAAGATCAAAATACATCAGTCTTGGTTCATTTTAGTCCCCGTGCTTTGAAAAGGTTTATTTTAATCTTTTGTACTTTTAAACTTTGATTCATTTAAATCCATGTATTAAAATTGTTCATTTTGGTCCATATACATTTTAAAAGTGATCATTTTAGTTCCTATTTACAAAATTTTAACATAAATGTTACACATAATGGAAATTCTTTATACTAAAGTAATGTTTATATTTTAAAAAATATATTGATTTTAGTGTCAGTATTGAAAATTGTGACAAAGAAATGAGGTTTAGAATAAAACTAAGTGACCAAAATGTTCACTTTTTAAAAGTACAAGTACCAATATAAATATTTTAAAAATAACGGAAATTAAAATGAATCAAAATTGAAAGTACAAAGAACAAAACGAACATTTTAAAAGACTAAAATAAACTAAAGTTGAAAGTACAGGCACCAAAATACAAACTAGTATTTTAACCCAAATTAAAGCTAAAAAGTATATAATTTTTGGGAAAATAATTAATCTTTTTATAATTCAAATATGTCTGGTTAGAAACTAACCCCAAGTTTATTCGCCCAATCTATTGTACCGCAAACAACCGAATATCGGCAGCTTCTCTTCTTGAAACAGGTCGTTCAACCGTAGTAGTTCGATACTCCGGTGTCCTGCAACCAATCTAATCCACAAACAAACGAGAATAACTTTTAGAAACAAAAAATTTATGAAACGGAATCTTAATTTTTACAATTTTGATTTGTTTAGAATACCCCATGTGTCGCATTGCCATGGACCCTAATCTGAAATGGCAGTGGCGGCTGCGAGGCTCCTGAAACTTGCTCCACTGCCATCTCTTTGCTCTCTTCGTTCCTCTGCCATTGCCACAATATCTGCATCTCAATCTCAATTTAGCAGCACTAACCCCAAATCCAAACGCATAATGACTTCTTCTTCCTCTTCAAATGGCAAAGTCATCGATTCCCATCTCCACGTTTGGGCGTCTCCCCAAGAGGTAAAATCAACACCATCCATTCTTCAACAACACTCCCTAAATTCCTGCAATTTTTGTTACGTTAACAATGGAAGCTGACTCACATTTTGGTTCATTCACTCTCCAGGCTGCTGCAAATTACCCTTACTTTCCTGGCCAAGAACCTACTTTGACTGGCCATTTCGATTTCTTGCTCCAGGTATTCCTTCAATCTGATTACTTCTATTCAATTTACTAATTGCCAAGTCAACCTACGCCCACATCGGCGGAATGACAAGTTATGCTTCAAAGTGGAACAAAACAGATTGGTTCGACTTTCTATGAGTCGATAGGAGAAGTACCGCTCAAAGGCAGCTCATTGAGCCAAACCAGAATGAATTGGCTCGAATGTCAGACTCCCGCCGCCACCCCCGATAGTTCTTCGTTTCGAACTATACCGATTTTCAAGCCAGAGCTATCAACCACTCAGCCATCTCTCCAAAAGATAATTTCTACTTGATTTATATTCGATCCCAATGGTATTTAACATCCAAAGAACTGCCAAACAAAAGGAGTTCCAAGCAGGCTCAAACCCGAGGAGGATAAGATCGTACCATCTCACAATTCTTGATACATCTTTACAAAGTCTACAATTCAGATATTTCGAACCACTTGTACTACAGAGTGGTCGGTTAATTGTCAACTGTAGTTGGAATCACAAATTTAAACTACAGAGTTCTAAGTTATTCAGTTGAAGTAACTAGGAAGTACGAACCAAAGAAACAGCTAAAAAACCGGTCTAAATTATTGGATAGATTCCAAGTTATTTGTTTATGTTAAAGCATTCCTCAAAGTTATCATATCTATTCTACAATTCATGAAATTTTAACATCATTTTCTTCCCAAACAAACCCTGACAGTGTATGGAAGAAGCAGGTGTAGATGGTGCGCTTATTGTGCAGCCCATAAACCATAAATTTGACCACTCTTATGTGACCAGGTCAGTTTCTTACTGCTAATATAAAATAAGCATATTAGATGTTCCACGAGCTTGGCATGGCGTTTATAAGTGTTTTTATGTATTAATTCAAATATATGATGTTTCCTATATTGTTAAATGTCTCTTTAAAATTTCTGAAGGCACTAAACAAGCTTCCATAAAGTACTTAGTCATATATATTTCTTAAAATGCTTATAGAAAAGCACTCTCCAGTCATCAGAAACTCACTCAACTATTTATAAAGGAGGAAAGTACTTTTAATCACCCAAAAACACTTTCATAATGTATGGCTACACGCACAAAAGAGAATTTCAAAATCCTAAAAATCACCCACTTGCCAAAAATGCTTATAGAAAAAGTATTCTATTTAAAAATCCTACTCTAAAAGATATCCCAAACTCACATAAGTGCTAATTGCCCTATTTGGAGTCGATTGTTCTAATGCTTTTCCTAAACTATACTGCTATGACATCCCAATGTCTTCATCATTAGAGTTTCCTGTGGACAGTGTAATTAACAAGTATCCAAACAAATTCGTTGGTTGTTGCCTAGCAAATCCAGAAGAAGATGGAAGTGGAATACAGCAGCTGGAACATCTCGTAACAAAGGTTTTTTGCTAGTTTTTCTATACAATTACATACGTTCCTAACTCAAAAAAATTATCTTGATGTAATTTCTCTTTTCCTTATAGGATGGATATTCTGCTGTTCGCTTTAATCCATACTTATGGCCATCAGGTCAAAAGGTATCTGAATGATAGTTCCTGTCTTGATTACTCTGATCTACTTCCGATTTTCACTTCAATATGTTTTCCTATCATCTCTAATCATCTAAGAAACACAAACACTTCAGTTTGGATAATGCGTCCATGATCGATGCCTGTAAGACACTTGAATTCGACACTTACTGATCGGTCACTTGTTAGCCCAATAGTCATACACTAATAAAACAACGTGAATATATTTCCAATACTTGTTAAGCATGTTCGAACACCCGTTAAGCACATTCGAACACTAGTTAGGTATAACAAATAGATATAAATAGTAGTATAGGATAAAATAATAAGTTTTGAGAGTCAAATGTATCAAACTCATTTTTTTTAAGAATGTAATGGAGAAGCTTGTTGACTTTGAATTTTCTTCCCGATATATATTTAACATGTATATTTTAACAAATATGACCTCTCCATGTCCATGCTCTAAATTTTAATGGCGTGTCTGTGTTGCATCGTGTCTTGTTTATGTATTTGTGCTTATTCGCTGATATTGTAGATGACAAATGAGGTGGGGAAGGCATTGTTCTCTACAGCTGGAAAGCTCGGAGTTCCTGTGGGTTTCATGTGCATGAAGGTACCGTCAAATGTGTCCTAATTACTTTTCTATCAGTAATGTAGATATAATAGAGGTAAATCCTCTCTATTAGGGACTAAGCCTTCATGTTGAAGAGATTAAAGAGCTTTGCACAGAGTTCCCTTCAACCATTGTACTGCTCGATCATTTGGGTTTCTGCAAACCCCCAGAGTAAGCCAACTACGAAAACATGGGTTTTGTAGAAGTTCTAATTACTTGCTTGGTTGATGCCTATACTACATGTTATCAAACTTTTTCAGAAATGAAGAGGATAGCCTTGCAATATCCCAGCTTTTGGAGCTTGCAAGTTTTCCCCAGGTAAAAGTAATCCTTTGATCATTACTTCGTATAAAGGTACCTTGATCCCCGTTTTGGAAAATACCAACTTAGGTCAGAATGTTAGTTCTGATAGCAAGCATAGATAATGAAAAATATCAACTTTAATCTCAAATTATGAATCCATGCAATCAGGGAAAAGTACTTCTTTCAACTTAGTCTGATCTACATGATGAATTGATGATAGCTATATTTTAATATGTGACAGATACATGTGAAGTTCAGTGCGCTATTTAGGATATCAAGAATGCCGTTTCCATACCAGGATTTGTCCCACCTGCTCTCTCAAGTTGTATCCAGCTTTGGAGCAAACCGCATCATGTGGGGGAGGTATTGGTTTCAGCTCTCCTGTTAGATCAAATGAAAAAGAAACAAGCTTACATGTTTGGTGAAGAAGAAGAATAAGACATGCTATGTGTATAACAAATTTTTATGTCATATTTGTTGCAGCGACTTCCCATTTGTCATCCCTGAATGCGGATATAAAGGAGCAATCAAAGCCGTATCTGTTATAGCCAATGAAGTTTCTCTATCTCCTACCGAGTTGGAGTGGATCAGAGGCAAAACAATAACGCATCTGTTTCAAAATCGATGGATATCTTAATCTACAAGTCTCAGAAACACTAGCAAATATTTATCATTTCGTTATGCAAACCACTCTTAGTTTCCTTTTTATTCGAATAGATGTAAAGTGTTTCTTCCCTTGATGAACATTAACTAGTCAAGAGAACCATGATTATTCAGATCACCAAATATTACATGTTCTTCCATTCTTCTGATAGAACTGCAAAAAAACAATGCTAGACCTCACGTTTCTCGCTTACAATTCTTGCCGGGATCTCACAAAAAGCCAACTTTAGAACTATACTATTTTCCCTTGTATTTATCTGATAATGGAGTATTCTGAATCCATTTATCAAAATTGGTATAATGGGAAAAGCAACTAAAGGTTGTAAGTTTTGAGATACTCATCTGCGTCATCTCCTCATCACCTCCAAAGTTGAAAGATCACAGTTGTAAAGTTCTCAATGTAAGCCAATATTTGAACAAACAATGTCTACTGCCTGCAGAAGTCATTTTGACCTGTCACCCTTCATTATGAATTAAAGAAACAAGAGCCATTCATCATTTACGAATAACAGTGAAGAAATTCATTCAGAAACTAGAATGATCTAGAACTCTTTTCTTGTAAACAACATACAGAACTCATCAATGATCTGAAAATCCAGAAATCATTACTAGAACAGAGGATTCAACTGTATTTTGTATCTGATTACATGTCATAAGATTGAACTGGAGAAGTAATTATCACAAAATGAAAGAAACAATCTCTTATTCAGAAAGTACAGAAATGGCACTCAAAATTGCATTTCTAAATTTTAACATCAGTAAATTGATCCATGATATTGTCATTGTTTACCACACTTTCCTGAGCCATCTACAGGGGTGCTATTCCTCCTCTTCTTCCTTCTTAGCGTCTCGTACACAAATGCCTTTTCTAATTGCTCAACCCTGTGTGACAGGGAGCACAGCATCCGTGTTTGCATTTCATTCCTTTCGAACAGCTGCGCCATCATCTCCATCATTTTCTTGTTGTCCATTACCACCCTTTCAAGTAGCTCTCTGCTCTGCCCATCCTCTTCTCGTCCCTTCACTCTGCCATCTTCTTCTTCTTCTTTTATATGGTCCTCTTCATTTCCACTGCCCTCTCTCTCATCCACAGCTGCACATTCTGCAATCCCTTTTTCTGAACTTGGAGGGCTATTAGAAGAATCCGTCTGACTCTCGACTTCACTCATTTCCGGGTACTCTTCTGCGGCCTCAGTCTCATGATGCACCATGTCCTTGTCACCAGCTTCTTCAGGCACCTTTTGTTCAGAAACCATTTCAGCCAATTCATCTTCTCCTGTGATTTTGTAAGGCGAGTTCACGCCGTGCTCTGGAACTTGAGGTTTCAGTAAATCATCATCAGCATCAGGAACTTCCGCAACAACATTCGATTGACTGGGACAAGGCATGGATTCCTCAATAATCGTTCCCTCCTTTTCAATAGAAAGAGGCATTGATGCTACTCCGTCTGCATTTTCAAGCTCATTGCAACCATCGGCAGGTTCAGTAGTAGTGATATCAGCAGAAGAACTTTCATCTTCATGCTCTGAAATTCTATCCTCGAGCACCGGAGTTTCTTCCACACCACTTTCCCCGGCATCAGAAGCATTACGAACTTCTAGAGTCTCGTCAGTGGCTTCGTCGGCAGCAACAATTGAGTCGATCTTCTCCTGCAAGGCAATAGCCTTCTTGATCACCGCCTTCCTCAAATTCCTAATTCCAGAATCCACGCCTTTCACTGAATCCAACCTAAAAATTATATGGATCTAATTCATATACGAGAGAGAAATACTAAAAGTTGTACATTAATTATAATATACATGGGTCCACGGAATTAGTAATGAGAATGAGGTTGATGAGTTGTATGAGTGTAATGAGATTACACTTTTTGATTACAAAGTTTGAGGTGAGTCCCACCATTCTATTTCATTCCTACAATTTAGCAAACACGAAATCAAAGTTTTCATTATGATTCATTGATTGCGGGACGTAAATTGAGACGTAAATTGAGAGGAGAAAGCATTATCTAATTGTTTTAACTACAATAGTGGAGATTTGGAATGTCTTAATCGTTAAAACTCCCTTTTTTATAACTATTTTAATCTTAGTTTTCTGTTTCTTAAAATTAAGTTAAAAATACTATTTCTAGTTATTTTTAGTTTAGTTAAGAATTCATACAGTAAAAAATATATTAAAGAAGTAGTAATAAATCAAGATTACTTCTAAAATATTATTAAACATGAATTAAACTATACATTATTAACTATAATTTTTATATGCCTATAAAATCAAATCTAAATTTAAGCATTTCAAGCTAATCTAAATATAGTCAAATTGATATGACTAAACCAGATCAAAATGTAAAGTTTGAATAATCTATTGTTTTTAAAATAAAAAAATATATAATATTTTAAATTAATTGAATCTTATGACCCATCAGTCCTACATGCTAAATAATGGATTTTTTAAATAATATTTTTTTAACTTATTTTTTAAATAATACTCATTTAAAACGTATTAAAAGAAAAATGCAAATTAAAACTATTTTTAAAAATAAATTCAGGGCACCACTTAAGAGATGACCATATGATGTGGCACTATTTTTTTTTTAAATAATGTGTTCGAAACGACCATCTATGCATGTAATTACGAACGTTTTTTTTGAGAGACGAACGACATTGATTTAAAAAAAATATATTAATTATATTGTATTATATATTAACAAATAGCTATTTTTTCCAATATTAGTGATTGGAGTACCTTTTTTACAACCTGATCTTCTTGAGTCGAAATCTTACTATATGCATTTTTTTATGTTAATCAACTTTTTCCTTTCTTTTAAGTCTTTCTTAACAAGAATTTGGTGGTAAATTTGTCTTTTTACTTAAATTAAAGAATAAAATACACCTAATTTATTAATTACTAATTTTATTTAATATCCATGTAGATGAAAGAACTCAAACATGTGTTTTTCAACCATAACTAATTTTAATGTCAACAACCCATTGGAACCTAGTCTCCCACGAAGAAAAGAAAAATGAACAGTTTTTATTCTCTACATAGAAATAGAGAGGGTTATTTTTAATTAGAATTAATATGAAAATTTCAAGAGTTTGTAAATTTTTTTTATTATTTAATAATGCCGTCAAGTAGAATATAATACATTAGAATATGTATAGTTGTATATATCTGTTTCCATAAATTAATTCGAAAGGCTTGTAACTTATTTTTAATTATAATTAATAGAAAAATTTCAAAAATGTTGTGACTCTTTTATCTTCTACGACTATATAAATACCTATTGGTTACTATTTCTCCAAACTTTGTTCTCACAAAAACTTCATTGTTATTTTCTTCTTCGGTATGTTATTCTCATTTAGTTAAAGTATTTCGTTTTTTTATTTTAATTAGATTATATGATCTAACGTTCAACTTTTAGTTTTTCTTACCATGCAATATTAATAATTGTAATTGCGGACAATACTTCATTATATACATAAATCAATTTATTCAAAAAATTTAAAGATGACAGTTTTTTTTCTTTTCTCATTTTCTTTTTCCATGACTCAAATAAGAAATGAAAGCAAAATTTTATTTCATTTCATACAACATTATTTTTTAGGAACAAAAAAGGACAAAAATCTAAGAATATGTGTTAAGTGTTGTTTAATTGTACTTGTATTTTACTTATAGAAAATTCTCAAGTAATGTCACATTTATTGGAATTAGTGAGTGATGTCAATTATTGAAATGTCGATTTTATGAGATGAATATGGAGAATATGAAAAAGTTGGTGAGAGAGAAAAGAGCCGAACTATATAAAAAAATTTAACTACTTAATTTATTTTTATATTTTTAAACTTCAAAATAAAACCATCAAATTACTATAGCTTACTAGTAATTCTAAAGTTGATATTTATTTTTATCTCGACTAATTTTTTTTATTGTAAATATCAAAATTGTACTTTCACAATGAAACAAATTATTGAGAAGCGGTTTGATAATTATTTTGATTTTGATTTTTGATTTTTAAAAAATTTGATAACTATTCAAATTTCAAATTTCATGTTTTCTTACCTCGATAAAACTTGGCTTCTCATTAAGGAGCAACTTTATTTTTACTACTATTAAATATTTGACAATTCATTATATTTTAAAATAAAGTGTTATTTTTGCATTACTCTCTCGTAATTGTCAAAAATATTAAATGATCAACAAACTTGATCTTTTAAGATTTATAGTCAGGGAAAGAAAGAAGTTTTTGAAAGCATTGTTATCGTAGTTACCATCTGTCTTTGGCACCGTTCATCCTCTAGCCAAGACCGTTCATTTAAAGATGTAATCACGAGACATTTGGAGAAAAATCAAGATGAAATTGAAACCTGTAAGAGATTAAGGACTGAATCATTAGTCTTTTTTACCCAAAATTTTTGTGCGGTAGATGATTTTGGTCCTACACTGCAACTTTCTCGATGTTGAGCAGGAATGGTTCGGTGTTACTCAAATTCAGTACTCTCCATTTTTCTCGCTTCTCTTCAAACTTTTTCGGAACTTCAACGACGAGAAATGACATTGCCATAGCTCCAAGAACTTTTGCAAGAAGACCCACTTCGCGTTCTGCCCCAGTCCCTCGCGCTCTGGACACTCTCAGCTCTACCGATGTCGTCAATTCAGTATGTTCTCTACTTTCAAACAAAAATCACCAAACAACTAATCTCGATCTCGATCTTTTGTTGAAAAGATTCAATGAAAACTTAAGTTCGGATCTCGTTCTTCGAATTCTGATGAATTATAGGGTGTTGGGTAGGGCTAAAACGTTGGAATTCTTTTCTTGGTCTGGATTGCAAATGGGGTATCGGTTTGATGAGTCGGTGGTTGAGTACATGGCTGATTTCTTTGGTAGAAGGAAACTGTTTGATGATATGAAGTGTCTTCTGGTGACGGTATCTTCTCATAAGGGTCGGCTTTCTTGTCGAACGTTTTCAATTTGTATCAGATTTTTGGGTAGGCAAGGGAGGGTTAGAGAAGCCCTTTGCTTGTTCGAAGAAATGGAGCCAAAATTTGGGTGTAAACCTGATAATCTTGTCTTTAACAACATTCTTTATGCCCTTTGTAAGAAGGAAACAACTGGGGAATTGATTGATACTGCTCTTACAATTTTCAGAAGAATCGAATTGCCTGATAAATATTCATACAGTAATATCATTATAGGATTGTGTAAATTTGGAAGGTTTCGTACAGCTCTTGAAGTGTTTGAGGAAATGGAAAGGTTGGGCTCGGTTCCTACTCGATCTGCAGTGAACATTCTCATTGGGGATTTGTGTTCATTGAGTGCCAAGGAAGGGGCTATAGAAAAAGTTAGAGTTAGAAGTACTCGTAGGCCTTTTACCGTTCTAGTTCCAAATGTGAATTCGAAGAGCGGTGCCATTGAACCTGCAGTTGGGGTTTTTTGGGCAGCTAATAGGATGGCTTTGGTTCCAAGTTCATTTGTAATGGTTCAGCTTATCTCGGAACTTTGTCGATTAGGTCAAATGCAAGAAGCCATTGAAGTATTGAAGGTTGTTGAGGATGGAAAGCTAAGATGTGGAGAAGAGTGTCACTCCATTGTGATGCAAGCACTGTGTGAAAATCGTCAGGTTGAAGAAGCTAGTGATCTGTTTGGGAGGATGCTTTCTCAGGGTATGAAGCCAAAGTTGGCTGTTTACAATTCTGTTATTTGCATGCTATGCAAATTGGGGAATGTGGTTGATGCTGAAAGGGTTTTTAAGATTATGAATAGGAAAAGATGCGTACCTGATCGTGTTACTTATTCGGCGCTAATCCATGCCTATAGTGAAATTGGGAATTGGTCAGCAGCCTACAGTTTATTGAAGGAAATGTTGAGTTTAGGGATGTCTCCTCATTTTCATTTGTATAGTTCAGTGGATAAACTAATGAGGGAACATGGGCAAGTTGATCTGTGTTTGAAGCTGGAAATGAAATGGGAAGCCCAAATTTTGCAGAAGCTTTGTAAGCAAGGTCAACTGGAGGCTGCTTATGAAAAGCTCAAGTCAATGCTTGAAAAGGGCATTCACCCTCCTACCTATGTGAGAGATGCTTTTGAGAACGCATTTCAGAAGAACGGTAAGTATAAGATTGCTCGTGAGTTGCTGGAGAAGATCGGAGTCCACAACCGTGAGGAGTCTGTAATCAGACATTCACCATGAGTTATCAAATGGAAATGTTCTCCTTTTATTATTGACGAAATTGTGAGTAGAAAACTTCTCATTCGCAATATGTTTGATTGGCCAAAATAATTACAGAAACACATGTTCCATTGTGTTTAGAAGCTAATGGGTTGACATGGAAATCTTAACATGATGCATGTACATTAAGTTTACTCCCATTGGATCTAATTCTTTCTCAGATTGATCCTGGACTAACAATCCAAATTCTGTACAAAATTCTTGATGAATTCCCTACCCTTCCAAGAAAAAATGTATGAACTGTGAAGTTGGAGATTATCCTGTGTTTGCTAAGCTCTCTTTTTTCCTGTAGACTCTGAAGTTTCAGTTGAAAGTGGCAAAATTGCTTTGGGTTGGTTATGTCCTGACATCTGAATATACATGTACAAAATTTTATCATTGACATATTTCGAGCCTCGTCAAATCTTTCGAAGCTCGAGCTTCTCTTGAAGGCTCTTTCAAGTTCCAGTGAAAGTCTACTTACCCAGCCAACCAAGATCTGCACCCGAGTTTAAAATGTTTACATGAAGCATTTGAACTAGCTTTGAGGAGGATCACATCAGTTAGAATCACCTGCTTACAGAACTTCATTTCGCCTTATAAAAATTGTATATCATTGTCTTTTTAAGTTGAATCCCAATAACCTCAGTTTCTTCTTTCTACAGAATACACCCAAGGACTTCAACAATGGCAGCAAAAGGGAAAGAAGGCAAAAAGTTCCAACTAGTTTCATATTTCACGAAAAAGGAGCAGGATGGACAGAAAAAGAAGAGGTAAGAGTGGTGGCTGAGATTCAGTTTCTTGGAAAAAAAAACACCTGGTACAAAAGTTGACCTTTCCAGCCACCAGAGCAGTAATCTTGTCAAAGTCAGGTATGCGAATCAGTTTTAGTCATTACTTAAAAATCTCTTGACCTGGTTTTAATAAATGTTCCCAAGAATCTTGATAGCAGAAAGCTCTTTCATATGAAAGACTGCAGAATCTGAAAGCTCGAGAGCAGCGCGTGTTGTACTGAAAGCATTTAATCCTTAGCTCTTGATGGCTTCAATACAAATAAAATTCAATGTAGAGACCCTTCTTGCACTCTCAACCCAAATTTGGTCTGTTCTTGTAGGAGCAGTCAAGAAAATTTCTAACATCACTTCGGCTCTTGTCCCTTTGTGGGTGGTTTTGTAGACAAAAATTTTCGATATTTTCAACACACGGTAAACTTTTCCTAATACACTGATCAGGATTTGGTAATTCAAGGTTTGACCTTATCCAAGATTAAGGCAAGAAAGTTTCATGGTCTAATTGTTTTTGTGCCCTTCTTTGAAACTAGAAGATATTTGAAGGATGATGTTGAAGCTGAAGAATATATTGTAGTCTTGTCCATACTTAATATGGTGTCCCTTAAGGTTGAAGAAGACCAGATACTGATCTAGAGGTCTCAAGTTTGAATCTTTGACGAACTTAATACCAAAAACCTTTGATATCTCCCGAGTCTAGACGTTGAGGTGGGTGTGGGTGCCTTTGGGTATAGGGGAGCAAAGCTTCGACTTCCGGTTCTAAAAAAAATATATATATATATATATATCGATCCCTGAGTGCTTTCTTCGTAAATTTTTTACATAACTCATCTTTTTCTTTTCCAAAGGAAATTTATGCAGCTCGCTGGAATTCGAAAGAGCCCCAAGAAAGTTAGTGTGCTTACTTAAGATTATTCTCAACGGCAAAGTTAATACGGCTGAAGTTCTTCAAAAAAAGGCTTCCCACCATGTCTCTTCAACCTTCAATATGTCGTCTATGTTCCGATAGTTGTGAAAGTCGAGCTCATCTTTTTTTACTGTTCATATGCAGTGGTTTGTGGGGGTTTCTTATTTCAACGATTCGACATTCATTGCATCTTGGCATCGGATATTACAAATATTGTGTCTCAACTACTATATCTAGTAGTAAAGGTGGAGATTTGAACTCATTACATTTCTTGTCAATTACCATCGAGCTAATCAAAGCAGCTTTATTATTAGAATTTAGGTTTGGAAGAAACCAAAAGAAAAGACAGATAGATTCATATGTCATTTGACTATTACATGATGGTTAATATGTTAATATGTGAATATTAAGATATTTTAATAAGGGAAATACTTGGCTCCTTAACGTTGAGGAGTTACTCTTAAGGGGTCAAGTATTTTTCTTTCAATAAAGACTCGCGAGTACAGATAAAAAGGGAAAAAAAAAACACAACATTTGCAACCACGAAGCTAATAGGAGAGGGAGAGAATTACACAAGAAAAACGGATGTTTTACCTTTTCCCCTTTTATCTTCACTCCCATTTTCAAGGATCAAATCATGGTTATTTGGGTCTCTTTGATAATCTATCTATATTTTGTTTATCGATCTCTTTTTTTTTCTTATTTTCTTATTTTAATTTATAAAAACAAAACTATGTTTAGTATTTGTTTTTTCCTTCTTTTTTTATTGAAAGAATAAACTTAGATATATTTGATAATCATTTATTGTTTTTTTGTTTTTTAAAATTACAGATAAAAAAGATAAAAAATTTATATGAAAATTAACTTTTCAAAATTGGTATGTTATATTTAATTTTTGATGTATATTATACATTTTGAAAATAAAAAATTGATAAATTGATAAAATGATAAAATAATACTCTTATCTACGTTTTAGAAACAATGGAAAACAAGAATAAGAAATTTAAAGCTTGTTTAGTAACGTTTGCGTTTCTTATATATCGTTTTCAATTACAGAAACAAGAAATAAAAAGTTACCAAACGGGCCAAAAAAATTTAGTTTTGTTGTTTCCGAATTTTTTAAACAACTATTAAAACGTCTATTAAAATAAAGAAAAAAACATAAACAATTACCAGGTACATTTCTCAAAAATTGGAAATGAGAGAAAAAAGCACAAGATGGAAACTTTATCTAACGAACTTCATATGACTGACATTTCTCTTCATAATTTTACTGTTTTATCAAGCAGAATGGATCGAAGTTCCTGCTCATTCCCATTTATTACATACCAAAGTTCTAACCTTAATGTTTTGTGCACCAAAGTTGTTCCAAGTCTCTTCTCTTTTTTATAAGTATTCATACTAAAACATTAATAATTAACATAATTTTTTTTATCTTTTTGCAAAGAAAGTAAAAAATATATTTCCGGAATAAATTGATAAAAATATCAAGTATGTATGTTTTTCCTTTTGAGAAAGATTCAAATATTTGCTTAATTCATTTTGATTGATAAAATATATTAAATTAATGAAGTTAATTATATATTAATACTATTAATTAATTAACTGATACAAACATAATTAATTGTTCAATTGTAATAGTTAATTTATTGATTAAAAAATATATTTAATTCATTTTTATTAATAAAAATGTATTCAAATAATGCAATTAAGTATTTAACAAAATTATTAATTCATTAATCATCCATTTAATTAATAAATTTTAATTGGTTAAGTTAATTTAGCATAAGAGTTAATTTTTCTAAATAACTATAATTAATTGTTTAATTAAAACTATTTATTGATTACATAATCAATTAATTTATATTTATTTCTTTGAATTGATTTGGTTTATTCATTAATTAATGAATCATAATCATTACATTTTCATGACCAATCCTAGTAAAAAAAAAAAAAAACCTCATTTATTCGGGTGAAAATCTTATAACATTCTCATAATCTTTGTTACTTTTGAAACCTTAAACCAAACGGTCCATAAATGCTGGAAGGGAGTGACGAGCGAGCTATCATAGCTCGCATGTGCATGTGCAAAACAGTAATTGGTGTTGGGCAGAAAAAAGATCTTACTGTAATCTTACTAATTCACCATTGCATATAAAAAAAAAAAAAAGCAGTGTTCAAGCATGACTATGTAATGTGGATTCAGCCTCTAGAGAAAATAAAAACATGTTCATAGAAACGTTTACAAGTGCATTCACATAACAAACGAATCATATAAACAAGCACTGCAGGAGTTTATTGTGTATGGTTCCTGACCTTGTGTTCAAGCAGATCCCAATAGATTCTGGATATCTTTCTGTAGAATGAGGTGGGGAAAGTAAAATAAGCCTCTGCAGATAGTCTTAGATCTTTATAAAGTCGATTTCGGGAAACGATACTAACCTCAATGTTGAGAGGAGGGGTGGTAGGAGCATATCTGTCAACGACCTTTCCTTCTCTGTTCACCAAGAACTTCGTGAAGTTCCATTTGATGCCATCGCCAAATATTCCACCCTTTTTCAATTTCAGGAATTTATAAATGGGTGCTGCATTCTTACCGTTAACCTCGACCTAAAAGAACCACGTTATGAGTGAGTTTGAAATCACTTTTGAAAACATAATTTTAAGCAAAGCAAAAATCATGAAACTAAGAGTACTTTCCACTATTTCAAAAGTTATACTGAATTCAAACTAAACGGGTGTTTTTGTGGCATGAAAGTACTAGTCCTTTTACAAAACTAATGTTGGAAATATAATCGAAATCATATGCTTAGTTAGTATAATCACATGTCAGACATCGGCGAGATATTGGTAGAGGAACTAACAATAAACACCTCCAAGACGAAATCTATTGCATTGCAACAACTGTTTATTTTATATGTATTTATTTGTTTGATAACCATGAAGATTTGGCTCACTTAAATTAATCTCACTAGACCAATACCTAATTCTACAACATTTGATCGAAAAACTTCAGGATGTTTAATATTCAAAGTAGAAGGTCACTATGGTATAAACCTATAATATAATACCTCAAAGACATCTTGGTTTATGATTATGATTACCTTATCAAAGATGGGGAATTCTGCTTTGAACCTTGTGCATAGAGTTTCCTGGATCTCCTCATTGTTTCCTGGCTCTTGTCGTGCAAATTGATTGCAAGGAAATGCCAATATCTCGAAACCTGCCCAAATAGGTAATGTGAAAACCAAACCAGAATCTTGAAACATAGAATTTGGTGAGTTTTGATATTGCCATGGAATAATGTCTGACCTTGACTTTTGTACTTGTCATACAATACATTCAATTCCTTGTAGTTTGAATCCGTAAAACCACTGCAAAACAACGAAGATCTTGAGACGAACGATTAATAATACAGCACAGCCAAGTTTTCTTGACATTTTTCCTCAGTCACTCTTCGACATGTAGGAACTTTTAATTTTCTCTAAACACAGAAGATCCCAACCGCCAGCCAATGTTCAAAAGAATTTAGAGAGAGAATAAAAATTACCACTTAGAAGCAACATTCACTATCAGAAGAACCTTCCCACTGTATTGACTAAGGCACACATCATTCCCACGAATATCCTGCAAACAAGTCCATTTTCGATCTTACATATTTCCTATGTCAATGCCTAACTAATCAAAGATTTGCAGAATTAGAAACTAATTATACAGAAAATGACTTCAATAGAGAAGCCAAAGTCAGCGGTAATACAACTGTTTTGGGTTCTCCAATCAAAGCAAATGATCCCTTATATTTCGGAAGTCAGATATTTTCATAAATCAATCCCCAACAAATCAAAGATTTTCCGAAGTAAAAACGAATTAAAATCAAAATCATTTCAACAAAGAAAACTAGGTCAGCGAAATGAAAAGCGAGCCATAATAACGAGGATTTTTGGTTCTCTATTTAAAGCCAAGAATCCCAAATATTTCGAGAGTCCAATATTTCAGATATTTCGATCTTACATTTCAAATATTTGCTAAATATGAACAAATTAAACAGAAAAATCACTCAAACAAAGAAACCTAAGTTTGCGAAATGAACAACGAGCGAGAACACAGATGATACTCCATTTCACATCAAAACAAACAGAGATAATTGGAAAGCGATGGAGCTGAATACCTTGATAGTGAAATCATATATGGAGTTGGGGGATTCTTCAGCCATATTTAGAAGAAACGAGTGAGAAATTTGAACAACTCAGATAAAGAAACCTAAGTCGGCGAAATGAACAACGAGCAAGAACACAGAGGATATTCCATTTTCACATCAAAACAAACAGAGTAAATTGGAAAGCGATGGAGCTGAATACCTTGACAGTGAAATCATATATGGATTTGGGGGATTCTTCAGCCATATTGAGAAGAAACGAGTGAGAAATTTGGCCTGTTTGGTAGTAATAAAATGCGGAGAAACAGAGAAACAAGAGGGCGATCCAATTGGCAATTTTGAAGAAATGCATTCGAAGAGAATTCAATTTCAACGATTTAATTTTCAACGCAGCCTTACGTCCGTGGAAGGAAATAAAAGAAAATTATTTCCTTAGTTAGATGAGCAAGAAATTTCATGATTGTCAGCATTTATTTTGGATTTATATGCTTAGAAAAAGTTTAGTTGGCGGGTAAGTCTGTTGGACTTTGCTAAAACTACGCGGTGACGTGAAAAGCACGTACCACAGACAAATCAACAAGTGCCACGCCATACCATGGCCTAAGATTTTATCCGATATTTTTGTTATTATCTTTTTTCATAGTACCAATCC